AAACTAATAGACTCTCTCTCATACACTAAGTTTATAAAATTGAAGCACTTCCTTTCTGTACAATTATATACACGATTGTTGGCAAAAATAAAGAAATTTATACAAAAATAAGACTCTATGGATAAAAGCATTGATATAATATCATTTCTTTTCAAGATTATGTTGCTAGGCTACGCAGCAGTTCATTGTTTGTTACAACTTGTAACATGCAAGTTAAAATTTCAACTATTTACAATAATTTCTAAAATTGGTGTCACATTTATTAAACATGCAAGTAAAGAAACAAATCCTAGGTGGCGCTCAATTGGAGAATTGTGAACAGGTTCCGTCAGTTCCAATTCTGCCCTCAATTGAATAGTACGGAAGTGGAATATGTCACTTTCAAAATTTCCTTCTCCGCCATTTTGAATTCTGTCTGCACCTAGTAAATTTCCGGCACATGTGGAACGCTTTCTGAAATCTGTTACAACTTGTTTTATTGACCTTCAATTGATTACATTGAGTGAACTCACCAACTGAGCGACCCTCAGAATTTTTCAAAAATATAAATTTCAAAAACAATGATAAGTCATCAACTCAACTCAACATTTAGTTTTTTCTCTATAGAGGTCAATTTTTACCAAAAGAATTCAAATTTACTTTCTCCTAATAAAAACTGTCTAGAAATTGTGACAAAAATATTTAGAAAACCTTTTAATTTCGTGTCTCTTGAATCTTGAGTTTTAATATTTCAAAATGATAGCACTAATTCTTCATATATCTGTACATCTTTATATCAGGTCTTCAACTATTTCACCACTATGTTTCTACTCTCTAGTCAATACAAGATCGTCAAGGGTACAATTATTATAACTGCACCTTGGCCCTGCAGACTGTAAACCAAGGATCGAGTCAGAATCATACCAAGAGTAAAATTTGTTGAAGACATTCGAGAACTTTGAATTGAAGATGTAATTTAAAATATAAAACATATTTCAATTCAGACTTGATAAAATCTCAATTCCAATTTAGAAGTCAAATAGAAACCCAAACAGAATTCTTAGAAAAACATTAACATTTTCAACACAGTAAAATTCCCCTTCCGTACCATTGGATTGAGGGCAGAATTGGAACTGACGGAACCTGTTCACAATTCTCCAATTGAGCGCCACCTAGCAACTTATATCATCAATAAGGCACTTTTATAAAAATCAGCCTGTCTAAGGTTCTGTATCTATTACGTCACCATCAAAAGTGTTTGATGCACAAAATATCTGCAGCAGACATCATTCAAAGCAGTTTAATTATTAATCTCTTTCGTAATACACAAAACTATTTTACAAAATACACAGATCACTATCTAGCATGAAGCAGGTTCTCTAACCACAGTCAGACACACTTGTAATTTCATTGGCTGAATCCAATTCAACCTTTCATGTTAACCAATGAAACATCAGTTTTCACAAACTGACACAGTTGGGTGAGAAAATGGTTGAGACATCTGAACATCATTGGCTAGCTGTCCACAAACCTAAGACAGCTTTAACAATCTTACACCAGTTAACTTAACTTGTAATTTCATTGGTTGAATCCATTACACAGTTTCCAATGAACAAACAGTTAACCAGAACTAGATCGACTGAACTAGTTTTGGTAGAAATTCTTGTCCATTCAGCCTATCGAAAGCTCTGCATCACCCACCTCTGTACAAATGTTGAAGTCAGGATTTAGACAAAGAATGTGGAGATGCATTAAGTGGAAATATTTATATACAGAAATTATGCAAAATTCAGCTGTTTGTTTCAGGATACATGGTAAAAACATATTCACAATGGTTAGGTTCATATCTTAATGATAGAGGATAATGGAGAGACGTGTCATAAGAAATACTCCACTAAAATAATTTTTCACCTCCATAAAAAAATTCCAGATTATTTTCTCATGTCGCTCCCACAGGTGACAAGGAATGTTTGAAGTACGAAAGAGTTAAAATGTTGAGCCTTTATCACCAGTATCTAGAAAGAAAGTTTCAATCATGGTTCAAATTGTGGTTCATTTTGAAAAAAAAAAGGCAGCGTCGACCCCCAGTAAGAAGCTCACTGCCTCGCACTGCCATTTGCACGGCAAGTGCTTAAGAAAGTTGGCCCAAGGTTAGTTTTCAAACTTTAATACTAATAGTCTCTACTTGTAACCTAGGCCAGTGATTCTATAAGAGAATATCTCTTATAAAACCTTATACCACGCGAGTGGCAGTGGAATAGTTAAGTCAGTAGCTAGTGCTATTGTTGCTGCTTGACAGTTAGGTGCGTTGGGTTCGAATCCTCCAAGAAAAGGTGAGAACAATTTTGATATCATGACTAGTATTTCTGAAAGTAATCAGATCTTACCTAGTGTACCCAAGGCCTGTTCTGTCATACTGATACACAGTGAATCTAAACTGGCGTTAATTTCTTCTGTATCATTATTACCAATATCACCAGCTATAAAAATATATAAAAATATCTTGACATGTTGTGTTATTTAAGAAATATAAGATTTGAATATTAATTCATTGCTTGTCATATCATTATAAATTGGCATTGTAAAATAGAAATAAAATGAAATGAATGGAGTTTTACATCCTACTTTTCTGCATCACATGGGCTAATGAAGAAAGGGAAATGCAGACAGGGTACAATGAGGGATATTGTGCCAGGACACTAGCCTGCTCTTTTCCAACTGTTAAGGATCTTTAATGTTCACAGCCTATAGTACACAGGGCCTTGGTTTATTGTCCCATCCAAAGAACTAGACGCTTTTTCCATGTCAGCCCTGACAGGGGGAAACCTGAAAAATCTGAAGATATCTTCTTGACCTATATCAGGATTGAACCCTGGACCTTAGCAAGCAAACAAATTTCTTCCTGATAGAAATTTTGCTTTTGTCTGTTTGCTGCATATGATTTTGGTCACAGATTCAAGTGGATATCAAAGAATTGTAGAAAGCACCATCATTGTACTAAAATTTCAGACCTGCAACTAATGTACTGTCAATAAGAAGACACATTAAATTCTTAAATAGACTTACATGTTAAGGCAACAGATAAAGCTTGTCCTCTCACTGGAGCTGAATGCGTTCTAGTAACTGGTGATTTTATATTCTAAAATATAATAAACAATAACCATCAAATTCCACTTCATCAAAACATGGACAATCCCAAGAAATGTCAAGTGTGTAGCGTCATGATTTCACCGTTCCGATTTTCTTTGCAAGAATAAGTCACTTTCATAATTTACTCTTCTATTCCTTTCTCCACCATATTTTCTAACATGGATCACAGTCCCAACCCTGTTCCAATTGATTGAACTTCCAGTTGATTCCATAAAACACGAAAAAGCAGATGTCATCATTAGAGCACCACAGCTTCAAAATGGAACCTCTGAGTACAGAAATGGTGTCAAAAGAATTCCTACCTCCATTACACCTGGTTTCATAAAGCTGGGATTAGCGGAGTTTATCCTGGAGATAGGAGCGTGGAGATTACTGGAAGTTCCTCCCTGGATACGTCGCGGATTCCACTGCTGGCCCGATCGGAATTGATTTGATGGTGGTCTACACCCAGCTCTAAAAAATAACCACAAAATATAATATGCTAAAAAAAGGTTACTAAATTCAAAACCAAGGTCTCAATTTCTCAAATCAATCTCAGAATCTATGCCAAAGACCACGCCCCAAAGTCAATGGCAAAGTCAATGGCAAAGACAATGGCAAAGTCAATGGCAAAGTCAATGGCAAAGTCAATGGCAAAGTCATTATCAAAGTCACTTTCCCAAAGTCAATGGCAAAGTCATTATCAAAGACAATGCCAAAGTCGATCTTTTTAGCTTCATATCAAAGTAGTTTTTTATACAACATTATGTCTTAAAAGTCAAAACAAATCAAACGATAATAAATATATGACAAGTTGAAAATGGAATAATAGAACTAACAAAACATCTGAAATATAAATTCAACAAATAGAAAAAAACATTTTGAATTTTGAACACAATTTGAACTCCATTAGTCACCTGTATGCAGCGAAACTGGAAGCTATAGCAGCCTGTTTTTGACTGGCTTCTCTTGATTGATGTATATTTTTGAGCCGAGTAAATGAATGGTTGTTATTAGACCTATAGACATTATAACAATATTGTTTTCAGTATAAATTTGTTTGCAAAATTTGAAATATGGTTTTAGTATCCTGGCCACGTATTCTCCAAATAATCTAGGGTTAGGATGTCCTAGAATCAATGTTAGAAGATAAGAACCTGGGATGTCCTAGAATCAATGTTAGAAGATAAGAAACTAGGATGTCTTAGCTCTAAGATCCTTTCCAGAATACGCCGTCTGAACAATTAATTGGACTTATGAAAAAAGGCAATGAATACCATGAAATCTGCAATGAGGGAAATTGTAAGCTCTGGAATCTTGCTCAGTTTGGGACCTAAGAATATTTTGGATCTTTGATCAGACTTTAAGTTACAACCATTTTAACAATTTGCCAATTAAAAAGGTTGTTTTCTCTAGAAAATGGTACTCACTAAAAAAAGTCTCTGAAAATGAAGGGATACATTTCACTGAATGATATAAATAATTTAATTTCTAACATACCTTCGCCATGTTTGATCATTAGGTGCATACGGTGGATTATAAACTTTCTTACACTGCCATTTCCATGACAACAATAAACTCTTGTGACGCTGTGTAAAGGCCTGTAGGTAAAATATTAACATGTATTGAAATAATTCAGTTTAAATAGTTAAATATATCATAGAGATGTAATATATTTGGGATATATTGAATTTCTGATTAGGCCGAAACAAACCTTGTATATGTGATTATATATACATAGAATCGAATCAGTTTTCACAGCACTAATGGATACTGCTATTCAAGGAACAAATAATGTAGTTTTTTTTCACTGGTTAAAACTGAAGTGATTATGACACTGGAAGAATATCACTGGATCTAGTGCTCTAAACAACTAAATAAGGCTCTAGAAGTTAAAAATAATAATAATAACTTACTGAATGGTGTAAACATTTATTAATAATGTTGATATACCACTGAAAACCATAATAATGTGGTCGTGGACTAATTAATAATGATGTACAAACTGAAATAGAACGTTAAATATTCATTATTTAACATAAAATATATTCCATTTTCTATTCAACAAGTCCAAAACTATAACATAATTCTACCATGTTTCCCAGGTAACAGGTAACCTTTGTTTTAGGGACTAAGATTATAAATAGTCATGATGTCATGTGATTATCAAACCGGCCAATCAACAAGCATGTACGTAGGTGTTTCCATGTTTTGTTTGGTGAATAACACACACATAGAATTCATGAATAATATATCAGTAAGGCAATTCCTCTCGTATGGATAGGTTGTTTTGAAAGTGAAAAGTTACTACCTCGTACAAAGCTTTTTAGATAAAGAGAACCAGGATACAATCTATTTTATATTGGGGAAAAATATATTAAAGAATGAGAATCTACAATAATTATGAAGCAATTAAACTTACTTTTGCCCATAACTCTGGTGAATTGACTGGGAATATCTCCCTCTGGTATTTCAGATGATACAGTTTTATTGTCCACTGTAGCGGGTGGGGGGTTTTCCAAGTCTTTATTTTGATACTGTACTATAGGTGTGATTATAATGGCCTCCATTTCACCCAGTACTGTCATTATTGGTTTATCATTACTGATATCCTAGAAAATAAGAAAAACATTGATGAATGGAATATAAAAGTTTGAACTAGGACACTGTTAGTGATGAGGGTCATCAAAGGGGCATGCAAAAACTGTATAGTACTTTGGATGGGACAATACAGGATTTGTACATTAAAGATCTCTGGAAAATTGGAAAGGTGGACCACAGCCATATATGCCCACCACGGCATGCGGATGGTAAATATTCAAGATTTTGGGGCAAGGGCAATAACTCTGCTTCTAACGGTCGAAAATAGCTCAAATTTGAACTCGATCTTCGTTTTATAAATATGTATACACATATCGTTTTCATTTGATTCCATTGAAAAATCTAGTTTTTAGAGTGTTAACAAGCAAATGCTGACGGATGCACGGACAGGGGTGCCGAGAATATATGTCCACATAGATGTGATAAAAATGCAAAAATTTCCCTCATTGCACCTTGCATGGCGTTGCCCCTCTTCATTAGCCCAATAACATGCAGAAAATCAGAAGAGTAGGTCTCATTTCCAACAATAAGACAAGCTTCTACCAACCTTTTCAAGCTGAATCAGGTTTCTCTGTCGGTCTTTTAACTTGGCGATACTCTGTATTATTTTATGTCTAGCACCAGTTGTAACATTCTGAAATAAAACATATTTCACATTTGACACATCAAACAATGACAAGTGTTATAGACTTTTAGAACAGGGCCATAACACAATCTAATTAGTGATTTATTGATATTGAAGGGTTAATTTGCAGGAAGGATATCAAATATGAAAACCATTGTGTCCTGTTCTAATTAAAACTTTGTTAAATTTTTGTTTTCTGATAAGTTTTGTCTTCATTATAATCTAACAAGCTTTCTATCACAGATACGTTCAAATGATGTTATTCTTGGTAACAAAGATGAATCCAATTAAACAAGGACGTAAGGGTCCTTTTGTGAAAATAAAACTCTGTAATTATCAATAAATGACAAATAAAGAACAGCTACCCATCCTTCATAAAGAAACTACGTACAGCCTAATAATTTATGATATAAATTTTACATAAATGAAAAATACAGGTGGATTTTAAAAGCTTTCTATGAAGACATTTTCCATGTATATATGTGCTAATATTTTTAAGTCTTCTATTTCCTTTTAATGATTAAATGACAAATACAGGTGAATTTAAAAGTTTTAAAGAAAATATTAAATTGCTAATTTTCATGATAACTTTTACATTTTTGTCTAAGGAATAAAAGACAAAGACAGATTTTTCCACCTGACACCAAAAAAACATCACGAATCACCAGGCCTCAAAAAATAATTGCATTAATTTGGATAAAAGATGGATTCCCTTATTTTCATTTATGAAAAAAAAAATGCTAATACTTATATGAATAGAAAGTAGAGGTGTTCTAATTACTTGGAAAAATACCAGTTTGTCTCAAATGTCCATAATTAATTCATAATAAGCTTAATTAGAAGAGAATTACCAGCGGAATTCCAATCAGTGACCGATCAAGAAAGGTCAAAAAGTCTTTTTTTGTTTATCCAGACTTTACATTCAGGGACATTTATGATTGGTTGAAACTCTTAATTATATGCAATAAGAACATAACGATATCATTAAGAATACATGATAATTCATTAGATACACCAATTAATCAAATAGTTTGCTTAATTTGACACTAAAAAATAAGGAAACCTATCTTTAAGGACTTATATATATATGCAAATTGAAATCTATTTATACCTGTTCTTCTAAATATTCTTCAGTCAATTCAAACATCTGATGGTAATCTAGTTGTTTAAATATATTGGCATATTTATGTAATCTTAGCTCTTTTAACCAGGCTGGAACATCTAAAATACGTCATTAATAGATTAAATAGTTACATAGTTTAAATTTAACTTATTGTGACAAGGTTTTGTCAAATTTTTTATCTGTATCCTGATATCATCGATTTGCACCGTTCTAATTTGCAGTCAGACGTCAGTGGTTCTAACTACTTTATTAAAACTAAGCATTTTATGAAGTATCTATCGTAAAATCCTTTAGCTAGTATGAGCATCCTTTGCTTGAGATATCATCTAGTATTACAGTGAAGCAATTCTATAATGATAGGAACCGCAGACATCTTACAGAAAATACCGGTGATGCAAAAAGAAGCCATATATGGTCCTGATACACATGAATAAATCTCTTTACATCGCCTTTAATAACTTTGCTAAGCTCATATTTGATTTAATATGATTGAAGTTGACATTTGACAGGCTGGGTTGATTGAAAATTTGGACAATTGGTCTGGGACTGGCAAATAAATAACTTCCCTGAAAACAAGCCAATCAATAATGTGATGTCAAATCAGACATAAAACAAAATAACTTGATGAATAAAACATAAGATAGAAAGGGAAATAGAAAAGTCTCATAAACAATTTGATTTCTCTATTAGAGGAAGTCTTTCACTATAAAATTCTCCTAAATATTCACTACTAAAAATAAGTCGTATGAACGTCATATTGGCAGTATCTTTATATTCAACAATTGAAATTAGTGGGAAACAGAAATTTTGTGGCTTCCAAAAATTTCAGAAACATGACAAATGACATACTCTCTCGCAAAATATAGGTCTATAACAGCCAAATAGATAAAAATAATAGGCTATGATAGATTTGAAATTTAATTAGATTAAATGAGATCTGTCAATTACTTTAAATAAAATATAAAACACTTACCTTGCATGCCGGAAGATTTCTCAGTAAAACTATTTTTAGATTGTGAGCCCTCCTCATCATTATGATCGCCTGCATTACCATCTGCATTATGGTCAGGGCCGTGATCACTTCCACTCCCTGACGAGGACATACTGTTTTGGGGGGACAGGGGGGCATGCTCTGGTGCCAGGTGTGACTGTCGAGATGGTAAATGTCCATTATTGGTTTGGAGCCAATCTGAGACATTTTTTTCTAAGTTTGGCGCCGAGTTTGGAAGTCCTGGAGGTGTGATGGAACAGGTACGACGTAAGGATGCATGTTGATTGATGCTGTTATTATTATTATTCTTGTTGGTATTGGTAGTTGAGGTGTTCGCCCCTGGAAAATATAATTAATATTTCATTAAGCTGGTTTTGAAAATGAGAATAACCTGCCCTGAATTAGGTGTTGCACGAAGTTAGTTATTAAAACTTTTCTGAAGTTTTCTAAACTTTTATGTGCATTGAAGACATTGATAGCATCAATTTGCACCATTCAAATTTTCATTCAGATATCTGAGGGTTGTAGATTTTCACTATAACCTTTGCAAAGGCCTGCAGATATCATTAGAATTAGTGGCATCAAATATGTTAGGAGCATTTCATAATTGCAGAATGACAGAAGGAAATTAGAATCATGCTAATAGAAGTCATAATGGCCTTGATACACATAAAAAGTATGTAAAAAAAATCCCTTGAACACATTAATTAGATACACAAGAAAACTAAATCAGATTAAATTCATATTTCACTGAAAAAAGCAGCACAATTTCACAATTTTCACTGAAAAAAAAAAAATTCTGTTCTATGTCCTTTGAAATGTGAGATAAATGTGCAAAAAAATAGGTTTTTAGTAAAAAAAATGAAGATTGATTAATTTCATGTACGAGACACAGGTTTTCTTACAAAAGTCATCTGATTTTTTTTATCAAATTAATGTGACATAAATGAATTATTCTCTCAATTGTAAAGATCATTTCAAATTTTATTATTTTTCTCCCACCAACAGGGAACGTAAACATGTGCTAGTTTTATACCATATCAATATAAGCTGAAAGATTTTAAAAACTATATTCACCCTACAATGTAGTCTATCATAAAGTTTTTGGACAATTATAATTTAATTGCCAGGAAAAATGGAGAGAAAACCACAAAATAATTAGGAATTACAGGGGTAGGGGGGTAATAGTAATGATTTACTATATTTACTATCAAGTTTCCTTAAAGTGGAACAGTCGGAATTTTTGGGGATTTATTTGGGTCTTTATTGTGCTTTAATAGTCTTAAGAAGTACTAAAACGCACGAAAATCGCATAATCCCTTCAAATATTCCTCAAACTAGAAATTTCAATGTCTATTTCTATATATGTGTTTTCTATATATGGCATAGTCTCACTATAATTCGAGTCGAATTTTTAATTTTCAAACGCGAAGTAATTATAGATACACATAGATTTGAAGGCTCAAATTTCGATGCTGAGCTTTGAACACTATTACTGATTATGTAAGCTAAAAAAATTCCTGTTTCTGAAACTAAGGTATGATTGGTCAAACAGATAGTGAAGGTGCTCCTTTAAAGGGGTAATAGAAAGAACAACTGAAAGGTTGAATATATATCACAACATGATGTGTTTCCTTATTTTTTAGTGTCAAATTAAGCAAACTATTTGATTAATTGATGTTTGTAATGAATTAGCATATACGAATTCTTTATCATATCATTATAATATAATAATAGTTTTAACCAATCATAAATGTCCATGTATGTACAGCCTGGATAAATAAAATAAACTTTTTGACCTTTCTTGATCGGTCACTCATTGAAATTCTGCTGGTAATTCTCTTCTAATTTAGCTACTTATGGACATGTGAGACAAACTGGTATTTTTTCCAAGTCATTAGAACACCCCTACTTTCTATTTGAATATAAGTAGTAGCATTTTGATTTTCATAAATGAAAATGAGGGAACCCATCTTTAACCCTGAATAAATAAATGATCAATTAGATGACAAAAAATCTCTACAATGCATTAAAATATAAATTTACAGCACAGATATAGATGTTTAAAAAACTGTAGAATACCTTTCATAGTGCAAAAAAAGCATCATTTAATTCTGAATGATCAAATAGATCACAATCTTTAAAACAATCTTCCAACATCTACATTGCATTACAAATTTACAGGTGCAAATGACCCAAAACCAAAAATCCTCGCCAAGATTATCACTTAAAGATGTAGATATTAAAAAGAACACTATATAAATTCTTTTTAAAGTACAATAGAGCATCGTTTATGAACAAATGAATAATGAGATAAGTCACAATATTCATTTATACCTGTTTCTAAAAATGCATTATAATTTCACAAGACTCAAACAAAGTGTCAAATACATAAACCAAAAAACCTTGTCAAGATTATCATTTGAAGATGTAGATATAAGAATAAACTGTAAGAATACCTTTATTGGTACAAAATAGCATCCTTAAGGCTTAAACTATGAATGATGAATGATGAAAGAGGCCACAAACTACAAACTATCTAATACAATCTATTCGAATTTCACACGACTACAACAAGATTATCAGAGAACAACTTACTTCACAGTTTAACTAATTATTACCTATCCTGAGATCAACATTACAAGTAACAAGTCATGATTTCATGACAATAATGACCTTGACCTTTGATTAATCTGTACCAGTCTGACTAACAGTGTCATCATTTTGTAACACATTATGTCAATTTGCCATAACACAGGATTTACATTTTACAGCTGTTAATTTACAGCATTGCTGATAAACAAATCAAAACAAAATAAATCACATTTAAATTTTTATGACTGGCTTTTATGTACTTTAATGTGCAATGAAGATAACAATGCTATGCAGTATGCATTGAAGATAACAATGTTATGCAGTGTGCAATGAAGATAACAATGCTATGCAGTGTGCAATGAAGATAACAATGCCATGCAGTATGCAATGAAGATAACAATGCCATGCAGTGTGCAATGAAGAGAACTTTGCCAGAAAACAATCATTAACTATTTTGATTACTTCTTGAGGATCAATTTGAGAATAAGTATGCATACATTAACATATAAGCCACAATTAAATGGGCCAAGTCCAGACAGAGTACAGTTCGGCAGAAAAGGTGGCTGTCTAAATAGGTCGAGAGGGCTTACTTACTTGTGCATGTACAATAATGACCCTATGACATGTAATACATTGTGTTTGCAAAAACAAATCAAAAACTTTTGTAGGATCATTTTGACAGGATACTGGCTCAACATCATTTAGCAAACATCTAGAAATTGTGAAAAATGGTCATAAAATCATAAGGAAATGAAATGAATTGATCCACCAAAAACATTTAATTTATAGTTTAAGAGGAACAAAACATTCTTCATTAAAATGAACTCTGTACCTGAGGCAATAACAGTTTGATATGGTCAGGAAATTTCAAGAGATGAGTTTCTAATTTTCTGGTGAGTACCGTGCAAGCCACAATGAAACAACCTCGTTGAACGGAAAACAGAATATTACAAAAATCGAAATGGACACTAAATTTTAAAATAAATAAGGTGAAGTTTCCAAGGAGATGCTCGGAGTGGGGTTGTCACTATGTAGTTCAGTACAAATATAAAAAGTCAATCGTGTTTGCGTCATGTCTGAATCGCGAACTTTGTGTTTTCGCTTCTTCAGTTTTATATTATGTTGAAATCCCTGTACCGTGCAACTCACTGAACATGTCTAACTGTAACTTAATACTTACGATTTTTGAAAAAAGTTTCAATTTTCATGTTGACTGGAGTTTCTGTTAAAGTATCCAGGATTTATAATATGTATAGACACACTGTGTTCAGTTAAGCATGCAGTAAAGAGAGGTAAATGAAGGAAGGGTCTGTTATCACTGTTAATAAAGTTATTATCACTGTACAGTTATCACCTTATGTTGTCAATATCACTCCTGTCACTATAAATAGATAACTCTGTAATTGTTGGACATGCACAGGTCTTCAAACACCTGACTAAGGGTTGTCCAATTATCACCCTTGTTATTCTGCGTATTTGTTGAACATGCACTAGTCTTCAAGCACCTGACTC